CCCTTGCTGATATTATGATAATACTTTGTATACATCCTGCTGAACTCAAAACTTTACGTATTACAGATGCTGGTATAACTGGTTATGCAAAGAATTGGGAACAATTAGATATTCCTCGAAAATTTAGATCATTAGAAAAGAACCAAGAACGAGCTAAGGAATTGCTTACATGGATTTAGAATGCTATATTTTCTGGCTGGATGGGTGATCCAAATAAGCCAGAAGTTAAATGGTTCAATAGACTTTTAAAAGATTATAATTTAATTCCTAAATACTTACAAAAAATAGGTGCAGTTTATGTTGTAGTGATGTATGGAGCACAAAATTTAGCTTATGCTATAACAATCGCTGGAGAAATCTTATGTCACAATCTTGACAATAACATTTCACCAGCACAAAATTACGTTATTGTCAATTATCAAAGAAAAATCAACTATCTAAAGAAGCAAGACCATTTCAACTCTATGGTAATGATAACTAATTACGCTTGTTTATTTTCCCCACATCCACAATAAAATCTTTATCATTATTACTGGAAATAGTCAATCACTTATTTACTTCATAACTAAAAGATTCAGAATCAAACCCAAATGTGGTATTATTTAAAAATTTCTTTTTTCTTTTAGCCTTGCATGGTGTATGATTTCTTTGAGAGATATCCAAGTTTGCTATTGAGTTTATAAGTTCTTGACAAACCTTAGATTTTACTATCTCTAGTAATTGGTAAAAAGAGATTCAGATTTTTTTACCCATACTTGCTTAACAATATCAGATATTGCTTTATCAGTAATATTGGTAAACTTTTATCTTTTAAAAAACCCAATTTTTTTACAATCTTATAAGTGATAATTGGACATTCTGATCCTGAATCAACTATTTCCTTCACAATTTCATCATTGACATCAATCAAATATTGTTTAAAGTTTTTTATGGATTCTTCTACCAGGTTGTTATCAATATTGTTATTAGTTTCAGTTATTATAAATGCAAAATTATTATTTATTAATATAAATTTAAAAATATAGAATTAAATATATTGTTATAATAAAACATCACAATGATAACTTTATTCTGTAAAATTAACAAAATACTAGTTATAGCTATATTAGATTCTAGTGCTAATTGTAATATTATAGGTGAGAAAGTAATAAATAAAGTAGGCTTAAAAATCGATGACATCTGTGATACAGAAATATATAATCCTATTAGCAAGGTTGATATGTTGGGAATAATTCGTGAAATAGAAATTTTGATTCTGTCTTAAGATCATAAAAGGAAGCAAGTAGTAGTAACTGATGTTTTCATTACCAATAAATTCGAACTTGAATCTATACTGATATTGGATCAATCCTGGTTCCAAGAAAATACAATGAAACTGGACTTCCCAAATAAAACTCTTACATTGCTTAATGGAGCTAGCTGCAAGGTTAAAATTGAATATTCAGATTATCCGGATAATAAATTCTTGGATTATTCTGATGATTAATTCTGGAATTCTGATCTATTTCTACTTATTCCAGATCCATTAATTGTAACAGATCTTATTTCTGCAGTTAGAGAGACTAGTGGGATAATTTCTAATTATTCATCATAATTTACAAATAATTATATATAGTAGTGGAGAATGTGATAAAATAATCCAGCATGCAGTAATTGAGTGGCTCTATTGACCGGGTGAATCCTTTATGAAGCAAGCCAAAGATCGATATTATTAACAAGTAAAGTTACTTTTAAAATTTGATAACTAAATATATGAACCAATAATCTAAATATTAATTATTTTTTCGATTGAAGATATACATTACTTGAGAATAATGCAACAGTGTAATATTTTTAATTTACCGGAATTACTAGAACAAATCTTATATTATTTAGAAATTGATCGATTCCTCTATTCCACTTTGTTTGTTAATTGGTTTTGGTATCACTGTGGTGCTTCTATTATATAGCATCATATTGAGTTTTATACAGAAAAAGATTATTAGAGAGGTCCGTATAGTCGAAAGATGCCTCGAGCTCTTATTTGGCAATTGATAAACTTTAAAAAAATCATGTGTAAAAAGATAAAGCCAACCTATTGCACCAATATGATATACCTCAGATTAGAAGGTTTAAAAATCTCAAATGCATTGATTAATATGATTCTACACTTATGTTCAAATATACAAACTTTTATTCTTGACCGAAGTAATGGTTTTACTAACATATTAATTACAGAAATTGCAAGATATTGTCCAAAGCTATTACATCTGAGTCTTAATTTATGTATATATCTCACTAATCAATATATCACTGAAATCACTCACTCATGCCCAAAACTTAGACATCTTGAGCTTGGTGATTGCTTTATTAATAATAAAGCTGTTAAGAAAATAGCCTGCAATTGTACTAATTTGAAATATCTTAGTTTGGAAGGATGTAATGGGATTAACAAAGAAGTGATGAAAAAACTTAATTCTAAAATTAAAATCAAATATCTTAATTATTCAGATGAAAAATGGTCCGATTCTGATCTACCTATTCTAATGTTTACCTATACATTATTAGATAAAGCAAATCTTATTTCTGTACTCAGTAATTGTATCAGAGAGATTGGCAAAATTAATCCTAATCATTAATGGTTTACAAATAATTTTACTTAATGAAGAAGAATAGATTGGGTAATCAGGTATTCAACAATCTCCAGCTAATTTTAGACAAAGAATTTTTATTTGCTGTAACATATATATATTTGTGATAATTTTTCCTTCTTTACTTTTGATTCTAGATATGGACATTGATTGTTGCTAGCTGATTTTTTGATAAAAATTTCATGCAATTGTTGAAGAGTAACATTTGGAAACAATAGTAGTTCCTCACCAGTAAACCAAAACTTTTTTACTCCTCTATCAATTAATTTTTGTATTAACACACTTGGAATATCTTCTAAGGGACCATGAAATTCTTCAAACTTTCAGAGATACACTTTGGCATTTTTATCAGCTTCTTCTGCTATTTCTTAATTAGTATAACCAATAATATTGATTTTTTCCTGAATTGTCACTATATCGTCTTCTAAGCATAAAAGTAAATCAAATAATTTAATCAGTTTATCTGAAGAAGCTTTATTCCTTCTAAGTTCCACTTTTAAAACAGGATTAATATCTATATCAAGTTTCCCCTGTATAGGTATTAAATCCCTCATCAATTTCAATAACAATTTATATGAATCAGCAAGTTTTTTTGCTTTCTTGCTCTTTAACACTGCCATTTAATTTATATTACTATTAGTATCAAGTTTTTTCTGAATAGCTGTTATATTCTTCTTCTTATATAAAAGCACTTTATATAAAGGAGCAAATTTTTTGTATTTGTTGAATTTATTATTAGTATTACTCATTATAATTGTTATAATATTGTAATATAATTAATGCGGAAAATAATGCATAAATATATAAATTAAGTGAATATAGAAAATTCAATCTGAAAATAATTATAATCACATCATAACTTTAAATCACATGACATTATAGGGCAAAGTCCATTGCGAAGCAATAATGGACCCTAGGGGAGTGATAACATATATGAAATCTGAATATATAGCTAGATTTTTTTATTTTTAAAAAATTGTCAAATGAAGGTTATACAAATAAAATAATAAGGGCTTTGATTCAGCTCTACTATAAATTAGATAACTATTGATCTAGAATATTTAATGCGTCCCTATAGCTTAAATGAGAATGATCATTATTATCTAAACAATATTGTGCATATTCTCTAGAAACGTAATAAAGAGGATTTCTTGCATGAAAATTGTCATCATCTTCAGATTCATAGTCCAGATTATCTAAATTAATGCACAGATTAGATATGTATATTTTTTAACTTCATATGTATGTAATGAGTCTCATCATGCCTATTTCTCCCAGTATTACATTGACGATTAGAATTGGATGTTCTTTGACTAGATCTTGTAATAGATGGTGTTTGAACGACGGTTCTGAAGGCATTGAAAGAAATATTCCTACTTTGGGAGGTATTATTATCATTGCTCTCGGGGGTATTGGTTTTGTTAGTACTGCTTATTTTTATGTTCCTATACAAAGTCCGCAGTAAGTAAATATGTTTTTATAGTCTTAATTAATAGTGGTACAATAAATAATGGTATATTACTTTTAATTAGTGATGAAAAACGTTTTTGGTACTCACCAGAGAAGAAAAAAAAATGATGTATTTTATACTGCCCAGAACAATTAGATCCATTCCAAAAACCAAGTAATTCTCATCATTTTTGCAGTTAACCACTTAACATAAATCAGATTTTCCCTGTGTTCGCAACTGGTAAACACTCCTTAAATTCGACAATTTCTCCCCTGTAGTAATGATCTTGACGATCTGGAAAATGCTAAGTCATTGTGTCATATGAACTTTGATAAAACTACTAATAAAGACTGATAAGACTATTCCTATTATGACCCTTTCAAACTCATTTTGTGTTTTTCTTATCAGGGAGATAGAAGGTAAGAAATAGACTGTTTGTGTTTATTTCAGGTAAAAATAAGTGACAAAATCATATCACGTGAATTAAATCCGCAAATCAGGAATCGACGTAGAAGTTCGTAGAACATGTGACAATTATTTTTTACGCAATATAACTTATGATTAAATTCTTCATCAATATGCAAAAATCTTTATTTGACCAATGACTCTTCGAGACGCCCTAAAGGCCTGATTTATTTATTGCAAAGCAATGGCTCTACGAGCCTACATGATATATACAAAGTATAGTGATACAGAAAATGAATCGAAAATAAAAACCCGTTAGATGCATGACTCTTCGAGTCTGGGCTCCGCCCATTATTTCTTATATCGTGCCGGTAGGCCTTTTCTTGCGGGTTTCAAATCTATGATTGAGAGATAAATGAACAATATATATTAATTCACAAACTTTGCTCACCTGTAATAGACACTTACCAAGATGACTCCGCCTATGATTTCTTAATTTTATTTAATAACCTAATTTAGGGGGGGGGATACTTTTTAACACCATCCGTGATTGAGTGAGTGGTGTCTAGAATCTCCAGCGCGTCTTCGTCGAAAAGAGAACCAAATTTCCGTTTTTGCTTTACAACAGTGCTATGAATATAGAAGATGATGCTATGTCTCGACCCGGTTATTAGTGGGAGGTTTCCATGAATTAAGAGGTGTGACCGAAAAGCGATCGCCTGTCCTTGCTTTGCCATAATTGCTAACTTTAATTCAGGGAATGCCAGATGCCCACCTTCGAATGTTCCAAGGGGACACACGACACATAGTGTATTAGGGTGATCTTTCAGATCCCGATGGAACTGGCAAATAGAGTTAAAGTTAATACCGACTGTTGGGAAGGCACCGAAACATTTAGGAACGTTGGAACCTAGATTAAGTTTTTTCATTTTAGCATACAACGCTGGGTAAGAAACACCAAAATAATCGTTAACTGCGTCTGATAATAGTTGAAGTCCTTGCATCAATTTATTTACGCAACTCCGATGGTCCTGGGAATGGTTGGATACGGTGCTTGCTGTAACGTAAGGCTCTATATTGCTATCCGTCAAACAACCGAATTGTTCTGCCAGGTTATTGATAAACTGGCTACTCTGATGACTGACATGTTTGCGAGTGTGCTCATAATAATCATCCACTGCAGATTGCGCAACTCTCACAGATTCTGAATTGTCCAGATCAAAGAAGTCAACCATCGTTTCGCCAAAAGTATTTTTAATGCAATGGGATTTAGAGATATATTGGTAGCTATCGAGGTGGATATTATTTATGATTTTTTTTGTGGTTTCATCCGCAATAACAAGCTTGTCCTTTGGGTGCCGTTGGAATACTTCTGGGATTTCGTGATCTTCTAGAGGCCCCTTCCAAGTTTTTATTCGTTGCTCATGTGCATGCCTTATTTTAGCCCACAGACGTCGACAGTGATGCCGGAATTTTTTTCTAAAATTGGGAACCCTCGTAAAGTATGCCCACCGTCCAAATTCATTCCATAGATCTCGAGAAATCGAATCCGAAACATTAGTTTTACAGAATATCTCCACCTCCAATAACTCCAAATATTCAGCTGGTATCGAAGAGTTGTTATTATCAATCGGAACTTGATGTTTTGCAAATCGCCTTTGACATCTTTTTTCTAAGAATTTTTCAATGAATGTCGACTCCGGACTAATCATTATAAAAGGCTGGGATAAATTAACCGATCTGAGATCCTCGGCGTCGAAATCCTCAGAAACCCATTGTGACTGAATATAATCAATGGTTTCTTCTTTGGTAGATTTTCGTGTCTCTATTTGTGTTTTATGCTAAAAGAAAAAAAGTGATTAATGTCAACATCAACCAGAAATAATAGATTTTGCCCATGCCAATTTTGCTAAAGTGGATACACACAAATTACTTCTCATCTAATAGCTTAGTGGTTTAGCGGGTAGCATATCGAATCTACCTCTCCTCGCTAATAGATAATGATAATTTGCCAACCACGTCCTTAATAAAAAAGCTTTGCAAGGGAGGGTTCAATCGGCCCCTAGACCTACCTCGAAAGGTGATGACTGCCCTTATACTTCAAGCTTTGTTTATATGTTCGATCACTAGCTAACCCCCCTTTACTCACTTTTGTAGGATCGTAAAATATTTCGCCACGGTCTTTTTCTATTGCAGGATCTACTTGCTCATCGTTCTTCGATTTTTTGATATATCGTTGCATTTTCCTACGTTGGTTTCGGTTAGAGGTTCTCGTGACGACTGGTTAAAAGTTTATACGAATGAGAAGAGGTAAGAAACTAATTTTTACTATGACGCATTCATTCCCGGTTTTGCTTACGAATTACGAACAGTATGTTTATTATTAATTAGGAAGAGAAAAAAGACAAAAGCAACACTGTTCGACGAGCCGTTAGAAATAAATTCCTAGAGCCGAGTCTTACTCATCCACGTAAGTGCCCTTGCTATGCAAGAGAAGAATCGCGTTCACTTTCGCGTTAAAAAAAAAAGAAGCGCGGGTAGTGGTGGTAATTAATCGTTGATTGGTAAGGGTATATATATGACGAACAACCAATCAAAAACCACTATATCATCATAATTTACAAGCATCATGCAAACATATAATTTTCTGGTGGACGTACTTTAAATAACGCGTACGAATGATTAAAAAATAACGTGATGATTGAAAAATAACAAAGTATGTAATTATATTAATCACCAGGGTCAGATTTATTGATGCGGTAAAATAGAAACAAATTACAGAAATGAAATTTATGAATTTTTAAGGAGTAGGTACAGTTGTTGTCATTTCACTAGAACTATGTTCACTATCTCCAGAATCAAAATTATGTAGTATTTTATGAATTGTGCATGCAACTGCCGTTCTTAATGTTAGTAAGGTATGAATGAGCGGATACACAGCGTTTGCTGAAGTTATGTGTAATGGAATTGATGCTTCCTCTATGAGACAATATCTGTAAATACCCAATTCTCTATGCATAGCGTAAAGTTCTATAACGTCGCCTGTAAAATTATAAAGTAATAAAATAAAATATAAGTGATTTATGGATATAAAAATAGAAGTAATTTACATATACCTGCAACGTTAATAGTAAATATAGACAAATTCTGTCTCTTCGATGATTGGTTGAATATCTTTTTGAGCTTTAATACGCTTCTTGTGGTATCAATAGAATCTTTGAAAAAACGTATTAATTTTTTATGATCACGAAGGCGTTTATCTTGAGTGGAATCAGGTCTACCGGTTTCAAGATAAACAATTTCAAGTTTAGCATTTTTTCCCAACTGCGCCATCATCATATAATCAGCCCTTCGTGCAATTTTACGAGAACCTTTTCGTATAGCACTAGCTGAACTCCCTTCTTCGCCCCTTGTTTGGGAAACATTAATTGTAGCAGAAGATATGATAATCACATAACGCGATTCGTTAAGTTGAGCTTACCATATATCCCACGCTATTGGATTTCCTGGCAAATTGCTCATCACTATGTTTAACAATGGTGCGAGCACTTCACAAACGTATGAGCCTTCATTTATCGACTTTCCTTTCTTTATATATGCTTCGTATTTTGGAGATTTTCAAACTTTGAGCCTATAATTATTTACCAGTAAATGAGAATGTAAAAGAATCATATAAGCGGGTTTAGCAAAACTTATTTCAAGTGGCTTACATTGATTCTAACATCTGTTTTGTTAGATCTTGTAATTTTTCAGGTTTATCCAACCATTCTCCATGCTTAACATCACCCAAACCTCATCTATATTAATTTTCGATTCTTCGTTCCGGATAAATTCTTTACATGTATCCATTACATTATGATTTTGTTCTAACTTATATTTCTGAAACGGTTCCTTAAAAGTATCACAAACCGACCCGGGTATATTTGTAAAGGGTACTGATTTTAAATCGAGAACGCCTGAACATATCGGATGATCGAAGCCAAGATCCTCCACATTTATTTCCTTAAGTTCCATTTCTATTCTCTCCCACATGGTCTTCTCATAACTAGCGCTCTCGTTTATACACCATCCAACATCACATTTCAAAGATCGTAAATTCGCATTTGCGTTTTCATGCCAGGCTTCGGTATCAATCAATCACTAATGCTTTCATTTCTGAGAGTGAACATAGATCTTCGAATGCAGTTGCGACCTAGAATGTAGTAAAATTAGTTCTAAAGACTCGTTTTGAAAAACATATTAAATTTAACCACATCGCGGAATCAGATTAGGTTTCCATTTTCACAAAATTTCACCCGGGGCGCCCCAGCCAAAAAATTATCGGGTTTCAAGAGCCGGCAAAAATGTTTGATATGTAGCATATGGTATAAACTAGTTACTACCGTGCTGGAGTAATAATATTACAACGGGCATCAGCCTTTCACTAGTGATTATACCATACTAGAAAACCTAAAAAATGCATGACATCATATCCACATATTTGTCATAAACATAGTTACTGTCTTACCCGTTTTGCTAATTTTTTTCCAGTACCAAAACTTCGAAGCTTCTTTTTTCGTTCAACATCTTCTGAGGGAACTTGTCCTAAAACTCTTTCCAAGATATTTTCAAAATTCTCCACTTCCTTCTCAAGAACGCCACTCCATTCACCTTGTTCTACTTGTACAGTCATCACGGAAAGTATCGCCCGATCTACATATATAATGACACGTAAATTTAAACGTGACATTACACCCCTTTTTCATCACTTTTAAACGCTTATCTTTTTTGTTTTCATTTCTGCAACATTAGCCAAATATCATACACATATTTTTTTTCGTGTGACATGGCCCCTACCTACACTGAGTTGACCGAAATTGATAAAGGAAAAATACTCGGTTACATGGAAACCATGAACGCAGTGCAAATAGCAAAAAAAATGGGACGTGACCCCACGACAATACGACGGTTTATTGCCAAATACAAGAAAAATGGATCAATCAAAAATGATGAAAAAAAAAACTTATCGAAGAAGCTATTAAAACACGATGCAAGTCTTTGCACGAAATTGTGAATAATTTAAAACTTAATTGTGGATTAACAACAGCAGCAAAAACACTTCATGAAGCTGGGATTCGATCCCGTATAGCAGCAAAGAAACCTTTCATCAGTGAAAATAATGCAATCGCACGAGTAAATTGGTGTGAAAAAAACAAGAATAAATCTATCTATGATTGGTCGCGCATCATTTTTTCGGACGAAACATGTGTCAAAATTGGAAAAATATCACAACAAATACGAGTTTGGCGAAATACAGGAGAAAGATTCAATGCAAAATGCTTGGCATCCACTTTCAAAAGTGGTCGATGTTCTGTAATGGTGTGGGGATGCTTTATAGGAGAAATAAAAGGAACGTTAGTATTCTGTGATGAGTATAGAGAAAAAAAAGAAAAAATAATTGCAAAAACTTACCTGAGAATTTTAAAAACACATCTCTTGCCGTTTATATGTACAGTACATAATTTGGTGTCACCCCACTTAATCTTTCAGCAGGACAATGCCCCGATCCACACCGCGAAAATCATTACAAAATGGTTCGAGGAGAAAAACATTGAAATCACCAAGTGGCCCGTGAATTCCCTGACCTCAACCCGATCGAAAATGTTTGGAAACTGTTTAAAAACAATATCCAAAATCAAGAAAATTTTCCCAAAACCGTGGACGAGCTTAAGACTGCTTTGAAAGAAGAGTGGTCAAAATTTGACATCTCGATTCTTCGGGAGGTTGTGGGCTCAATGCCACGAAGAGTTGATATGGTATTAAGTGCAAATGAAGGGTCAACTAAATATTAAATAAAAAAAAAAAATTTTTTTTTATATGTATATAAAAAACTAAAATAAAACGTATAAATACCATAAGTTTAGTGATGATTGAAAATCGGGCGATACTTTCCGTGATGACTGTACATATAATGCCGTAGAAATTCTAACGATATCAAGGGGTTCTCTTGTTAAAAGAAATTCTTCCATTTTTCGGTATAATAAAAATCGCGAGTAAGAAATACAATAAAAAAAATAAAATCACTATTCTGACCTTTTAAAACGTTTCACCTACCCATTTCTGCCTCCTTAGGTATGGGAATATTAGATTCAGGGAATGTGAAAGTGGAGCGATGCATTACGAAAAAAAAACTTCACAAAATGTCACGAGTTAGTCAATCAGATTTGGAATTTATAGTAACAATCAGCAGGTTACATGATTAATTATACATGATCTTCAATTTATTCTGTAACGTGATTTTCATTAATTCAGTTTTTTATTTATATAACAAAAATGTATAATTTGATATTTGGCTAAAATTTATGTATCAAAAACACTAGCTCCGCTATTATTACGAAGTAATGAGGCTCTGCCTCTATTTTTTCAGACGAAATTCTGTATAGCAGGACAAGATCTAATTTCTCACATTTATTCCAGTGGTTGACTATTTATATTGTACATACTAACATTACTGTTGTTTTGAGATGAGGACATATTACTAGAGACATTTTCATGGTTAGAAACAACATTACTCTGATTCACTTCTGAAGAAATATTATTATTTTGTGCTTCATCTATGACCTCATAAGGTGGTGGTGGTTGAAGAGATGATGTTTCTATAGAGCCAAATTGACCAATATTTTGTTTAGGATTTTTCACACCAGGATTGTTTGTATTAGTGTTTATTGCATTATGGGTAGCAATGGAGATGCTGACCGTCTATGACTTCTTTGATTATCAATGGAAGTTCTTCAACTTTTTCAATTACCTGGCGATGTTCAACTCAATTCCTGTTCAACTTCTCTAATAGATAGTGCGGATGTATTATTCCTTCCAATTCTACATTATTTATGATTAGAACTATTAATGTTGTGGATTCTATCGAAATTATCTTCAGGCCTCTCTCAAAAATGCGTACGAAATTCATTAAAATATTGTGCACCCATTCGGCTTCTTCATGTTCTTTGATTCCCTGACATATAATCACATATCAACTAATTGATATAAATTATTAGCCATATCTTGATAAAATTCTTACTATGTCATACTTATATTGTAATCCTGAACAAGATTCATAAATTTTTTTTTACATTGATGCCCATTGAAGCTCGTGGTGTTATGCTCTTAATTAATCCTGGTAGCAATGTTATCCCAAAATCTGATTCGATTTTTTTCAAGATTATGAATATTCATTATTTCTATTTCTATGCTCATCAATAAGTATACGGATTTGAGCATCAGTCTATTTAATCATTTTTCGATATTGAGATCCGATAGAAATTTTTATAGCGAGCTAGTGTCTCTGACACATAATAAGTATAACCGTACTTCAACAGTACTTTAACCGTACTTTAGCCATACTATATTATGATATATGTGCCTTAGTACTAGCTCCACTATTGTATAATTAATTATTTTACCAACCACATTCCAACTGTACTTTAATCCGAAATTCTGATTTATTATATACGAACGATCTTCATAATTGGCACATTTAATAGAATTTTTATCCAATCAGTGATTGTTGCATATATATCCCTTACCGATTATCAACGATTATCGTACTTCCTCCAAAGCTACGTTTTTTCCAAGAGAAACAGAATACCCATTTTATAAATAAAAATGTACCTTTTACCTAATTGTATCAACGATTTGAAATACAGTAGTAAGAAATCTGTACTATTATACACCAATTCCAACTACACAACATCAATCTAGAATATATAACTTCCACCTCAAAATTCTATCTAATGTACTTCCAACTAAATCACACCTTCATCTCACTCTACCCAATATCTATACAAATGATACCTGCCCCCGCTGCAACTCGTACACAGAAACTACTCACCATCTCTGGCTTTGCAAACAGGCACTACCAACAATTAAAAAAATTCT